CCAGCCGCTTCCCTCTTCAGGTGCAGATTCCTTGGGACCTATGACTCCTCCCGCCTAGACAGGATACGTTTAGATCCTACAGAAAGGTAGTGGGAGCTCCAGGTATACCCAGATCCTCGCTCTTTCCTCTGATGTTCATTGTTCAAAGGATGGGAGTTGATCCAAGGAATTTCTGGCACCTGATAATATATGCCCATCAAAATAGTAGGCAAGTTCGTTTATCCTGCACATGAATTAAATTCTAAAAACACACAGCCCTCAGTTCCTGCTGAGAATCTCATCACAGCAAGTGAAGGCATCGTCTACCTGCAGCCAAGCAGGTAAAAGGGTGACTGCCAGGAAATGAACTTGGCCCCATTCTTTCCATCTTGTCTCAGAAGGGAAGGCACCAAGAGAGAGAAAACTAATTTCAGAAACACGAGGAGAGGGGGTTATTGCTCCTGGTGACAGAAGACTGAGCTGAATCCTAGAAGGAATGAGCCGTTGGTGTGAGATGACTCAATGTCCCCTCCCACCCCACCCTGATTTCTAAGTAAGAACAGGCAGGCTCTGAGCTTAACATCTTTGAGAGGTCAGCTGACCACGAGGCAAACCAACCCCAAATGCCAGCACACTTACCCAAGTGAATGGTCCATTAGTGGGTGCAGAACTCTGAAATCCCCGCCTGTAAGTAGAGGCCCAAGGAATTGCAGGGTGATTGAAAAAGACATCATGAGATGGATTGCATCCTACAAATTCTGATTACGTAGGGCTAGAAATTGAGCCTTATATGTGGATTCAGGAAATTGATAGCCTTTCCTTTCCAGGTTTTATTTCCAAGCTTTCTAAAATATTGTCACCCAGTACAGCTGTCCACCAGAGTTTGGGCATTAAATATTGAGACTTATACTGGATTGACATCAAGTAAGTAAACCAAGTCCTTTTGACAGAGATGCCAAAATTGGTGTTTCTATGTGTTATACCTGAGAAAGTGATGTTGAGTTCGACAAATTAAATTACCAACATGAGGTAGATAATTCACTTGGGAATAATGAACTTGGGGGCTAATTTTATAGACTGTATATATATGATATAAACATTTATGTCAATGTAATTACAGAAGACTTGGTTGATACTGATTGCTAATGCAGTCATTTTCGTCTGACCTTCCCTTGGGCTTCAGTGCCTGTGTCTAAATTACAATGGAAAGCCCCAATCAGCTGACTTCTCTGGGGTTTTCGTCTATTTGA